TAACCCATGCCATCGGTCGAATTCAGCCTGATTCATACGCCAGAGTCATGGAAAATTAGACGTTTCGGATGCGATCCGAGTAGATGAACAAGGCGGATTCTGGCGCAGTTCAAGGTCATGCGTCGCTGGTGAGTATTTCAGAGAGAAACTTTAGTGAGTGGAAGAGAGAAACGTGTGACGTCATCGACGCAACATGGAACGAGTACCGTAGCGATTCAAGCATGGAACTCGGTCTCCTTGGGACTCCGCATCACCCCCTCGGCCCCCTTATCTCGTTCCAGTCACGTGATTCTAATTAAAAAGAGTCCATAGTTATGAGATTCGAACATGGATCGTCCGCGCGGTAGACATTGTCCTTAGCCTCTACACCAACGTAAGATATTGAAAGTAACTGCGAATGTTGGGTATTTATAGCGTGAGATATGTCGGGACCGACATTGACTCATTTTATATACTTGACCACATTTTTTTGATTTCCGTAGACTGTAATCGTCATTATCATGTTGAAGATAGGAAAATATACTTAGATATGGGAAATAATTAATATTTCATGTGAAGATACCGATAATTGTTTGTTCGTATCAGTATAGAAGTTTAAATTTTGGAAATACGATTTTTTGCTTCTACGCATCACGTCCTGCACAGTTTCTAAACATTTTCGTGTGTTTAAACCAGAGGTGTTTTCTGGCGTTTAATCCAGCGTGTATTGAAAAACGATTCATAGTGACATCATTAATGATTAGATTCATTGCGATGGAGTGATGTCAAATTCAATAATAAAAACAAACTTCAATTTTCTTCATTGAGCGACAGTGGAAAAGCGCAAGAGTCCTGTCTGAGCTCCTTGAACATGAACAACTCTAAGGTTGAAGACAATTTCGTTGGTCGATTAGAATCTATACTATGAAGTGCACACACTGTGGATTCTCATCAGTAACCATCGATCCTTTCTGGGATTTGTCTCTCCCTATTCCACAAAGAACTGGCCAATTGAGTTAGTCACAATGCTTGGATTTCTTCACAACTTGACAAAATAGGAAACGTTAGATGGAAATGAAAAACCAATCTGTTCGAGGTGCAAGGAAAGAAGAAAATGCACAAAGTCCCTTTCAATCCATTAGTTTCCCCGTATTTTAGTAATTCACTCAAAGAGATTCTCTCCAATGGAAATATTGAATGTTGCTATTCAGTTTTCTTTAGAAGGATTAGATATGAGCAATTATGCAGCAGACAATGTGGCTCCTTGTCGTTACAGTCTATATGCACTTTCAAATCACAGTGGGACTACTTACAACTGGTATCACACAGTATATTGCAGACACCCTTATAGTGGTACGTGGAATGAATACGATTCACGCGTGTCCCCAATTTCACCAAAATCGCTTGTGAGTGAGGAGACATGTCCTCTTTTTATGAACAGAAGGGAACAAAGCAGCATTTTGTTTCCTTTTTTCTTTCAATAAACCAAACTCTGTTAATCGATTTGTATTTCATGATTCTTCTGATAATAAACGTTTGTCATTTGATAAAAAAAAAATCAGCACTTTATGAACTATAACGATCAAAATAAAGCAGAAACTGACAACTGACGTAACGTAACGTCAAATTCCGTTCCAAAACCACGCCACGCTAGTTTTGAATTATCATGAATACGTTTCAAATCATAGTTGATGTGACGTCATCGTTTCAACGCCAGAAGAATGTATTTGAATCACACACGAATACGTTATGAATACATGAGCGCCAGAAAACGCCTCGGAACTAACCTAATAGTGCACGTAGTAAAACACAAAAAAAGAATGACAGATTATTACCCAATGTTGCCAAGCTGTCACAAAAAACATATTGAATAGTTTGAGGTGTTAATACCTCTTACACAGTATACTATATAAGTTTTGGGAAAGAAAGTTTTTGGCTTTCTACTACTCCATCTTGATACAAAAAAAAGGACGAGGTAATCTTCCAAAAAAAGGAAGGAAGTAATCAATTTGAAAATAAATCACTCTATACATGGATGTGTAGATCATGCAAAGAAGTAACTGTCAGACACAAACTGAAAGGAAGAAATCAATTTGAAATTAATCACTCCTAAAAATATAACCCCTTCAATTCAACTATATAAGTAAACTGTGCCTCTAATATTGTTTTTGAGCAACTCATTGTTCCTGTGAATTTATATTGCTCGTGACAGTTTCTAAAACTGTCGAATCCAGAAAATAGTTTGCATGCGTATAATAAAGTACAAAATGTTAGTATCTCAAAATTTATTGCACACTTCTCAAAAACATGAATCACATAATATTCATGAAATGACTTTTAGCCGAAAGGGAGGGAATATTTTGATTTTCTTGAGCCATCGAAGAAACATATTCCTCATAGGATGTTGTGAGTGGGTGAAGGATTGTCGATAAACTAATCAAACCACTTCAATTACTTGAAATAACATCCAATGTCAGTACTATACTATACTGACCGGTACTTCGCTATAAGATAATAGCATCTTCAAACGTCGAGTATTGTAACGACCGAAGATGCAACTGTAGAGTGAAACACGCGCGCGGTTTCATAAACTTACAAGTAGTGATGTTATACTTGGTGAATTGTTGCTGTTAACTGCGAACACAAACAACTTTTTTCAGGTCGCCGCATTGTCGTCTATATCAGAAGGAGGAGAGGACGACAACTTTGTCGAGTTGTCGGAGCTTTCTTCCTCATTGTCGCAGTCTTGCACGCTCACGCAGCTGCTGGCTTTCATATTTTTGGCGGCAGTCAGCGGCGACTGCTGTGGTTGGGGCTGGTTAGTGCTGTAGTGGATGGATTTCTTGTCGGGCACGCCCTCGTCCTCACTGTCCGAGATCGTGATGACCGAAACGGCCGGCGAAGGAGTGTCGACTATCGTAATCGTATGCTGCTTGCTGTGGTGGTGGTGATGATGGTGGTGATGGATAGTATGCGTGTGTTGATTATTGGAGATTACCTGCAATGAAAAACATATCCAAATTGAGTACTCAAGCTATCCCAGTTCTACGCAGTATCTTTTTATTTATCATTATAACATTCTGTAGTGATTTAATACTCACCGGTTGATGTGATGAATGCGGCCTCTGCGTGTTTGGACTATGATTCCTCCTGTTGCACATGCAGTTGATTCGCTCTGGTGAATGAGTCTCGTCCTTAACCCGTTTTCTAACAGGACTGAGCTGCGTTTGTTCTGTCTTTTGGTGCTGAGATCTATGATGAGTAGGAACCTGAACAAAAATATCGTTAGCACCACCCATACATTCACAAGAACTACTGCTTACCATAAATTGATGGTAAGTGGGGACGTGGTCTACTGGAAAGACCGGATGGTGCTCTTGCAGGACAGCAGAGGAATTGACAAGCAATGGCCTGCCATATTGAACTTCGGGTAGCAGGGGTTGTTGTATGACTGCGTGCTGAGGAGGAACTACCGGTATCTGTTGACTGGTCGGCCACGATGTTTGCACGACGTTCTTGAAAAGAATTGAGAGGATTAGAGAAATGTGTGTCACAACCGAGACAAAAAATTTAGTTTTCTCAAAATCGAGAGACGAGATACTAGAAGCATGACTTCAGGAATTCAGGCTTTAATGCCCATCTTTCAAAAATGATTGTTGTTTCTAGTTGTGAGTTGTTTCTAGTTGTGAGTGACAGGCGTCTTCAATAGTATATATTGCTTCCAAGAAATGTAATTTCAACTCGCGCCGGCGAAACGCCAAGAGAAAATTGCAACAGGCGACGGCCTGAAAACCTGAATCCAGAGGTTCAATTTCACTTTGTTCGAGAACATTTACGTTCTTGGAAAATGAAGTATATCTACTTGTTCAAAACTTCTATTAACATTAATAGAGAAAGGGAAGTCAAACGCAACATATTCACAGACATGAGTGACATCTGACAGGTGACGGTTTTTGATAATCTCCTTGGCTTGCTAGAAACACGTCGAGAGACAGCATTTTTGTTGTTCTGGCGAGGAAGAAGTGATTTCAATAGATTCAACGCACGCCAGAACTTTCAAATTCTACTCCTCAAACTGGAAAGATAAAATATGGCGTGAACAGAGTTGTTTAATGGTATTTCTGACACACAACTTAATTATTGGCATGAAGTACTTACAATCGGCAACATTTGTCGCCCAGTAGGAATTCCAATACCGATTGGAGCAGTTTGGCTCACTACTGGAGGGTGCATACCTAGATAACCAGCAGGACGCAGTATGCTAGACATTGGCTGGTGCTGGAAGGGATCAGCTCTACTGCTGGTAGCATACTGCCTGCCGACCGTTCTACCATCATAGATTTGATTCTGAGGAAAGAATAATGGAGTTCAATGAGACGAATAAATTAGAAACTACATTCTGCATGCTACTAGACTTTAAGGATGAAAATATCAAAATGCCAAGAAGAAAGTCTCTTCCAAAAAGATCAGACTTCCTACCCTTATTAAAAATACTACTTACCAAGTTGTCATAATGAGGCATATCCCTCGCAATCCATTGTACCTGGTTCAGTTGATTGTTGGTGGTTGGTAACAAATTGGGCACCAAAGATGGTGCTTGCTGGGTCTGTTGATGATGTGAATGTGTGGAGTTGTATCGGGTTCCGCGGCACACCTGCAAAAATCCTGGTGGTACAAACAACCAACTATAAAAAAACACTCCAACACTTACCTCCATCATTTGGACGCTGGCTTTGACATTATCGCAGTGCCCATACCCAATCAGGTGTGTCAGCCGGACAAACTGATGGCAGAGAGCCTCTCTCGGAGTTATTCTTCTCTCCTGAAAGTGAACAAAGTTGAAACACTGCCTCAAACATCAATCATTGAAGTATACACGAAAAACCAAACAAATTGTGTATGTTTTGCAATAGGACAATATATACCTGGTCCATCGCCAGCATCCTCTTCAGCAGATCTATAAACTCTTTCCTGTCGGCCTTTTCTGCCAAGAGCTGCCCCCCTTCCAGTTCGGTAGGAACGACCACCCGTTCAATGTCGTCCAGACAATTGACAATGAACTTTCTGGTCTCCTCCGACTTGACCTCTGATTCGGCATCATGCTCTTCTGGAGTTTTCAACCTCCAGAATGGATGAATGTTATTCCTGTCGCGGTAGAAGAACGCAGTTGTTTTATAACCGTGATTTAGCATGTCCTCCGTCGGTAACCCTTGGGTGTGACTGATGTAACGGATCTGGTCGTATTCAGATGATCCAGGATACAGTGGACAGCCCAAAAATAGTTCTGCAGCAATACAACCCAGCGACCACATGTCGATCGCTTCACAAAACGGCAGGCCCAGAATAATTTCGGGCGCCCTGTAGTACCGAGACTGTATATATGAGTTGTATACCGCTTCGTTGACATAACAAGCGCTACCGAAGTCGATAACTTTCACGCGGTACGGTTGCCGTACGGGATTGACGAGCATTAAATTCTCCGGCTTCAAATCCGCGTGGATAAGCCTTAATTCCTGAAAAAATATAGTAGATGCTTAGTAAAATCATATCATATCTTATACAATATCCCAAAAAAACCAATTTAAATTCAAAGTGTTATAGAAAAATCTACGTATGAAGTGTAAGGTTAACGAAATAAAATGTCTCGCCTCGCAGCATACTGAATATTCTGAAGAGGAATTAAGATAAGTTTTGGGGTTCACAGCGGAATTTACTTGACGGTAGCGGCGTAGCGGATTTGAACATAAAGTAGCGGAATTTTCTATAATCAATATTGAAAAAAATATGGAAGAAGAGGCAGTGGACAGCACTCTCCTTCTTCTTTTCGATTCAATGGCCTCAGCAACTAAGGCTATCCGTAGACAACACTCGAAGCTGACAGCTAATACGTTATAGTCTTTGTAGTGAGGCCATTACATGATGAATGAGAAGAAGAATATTTCTGAATATTTTCATTCATATCATAAATCATATACCCTCCAATATCTTGAAACTAAAACTCTCGACTGCCTCAAATATCTATGATGCACTGTTTGGAACCTTTGGTGTAGTAATGAATATTACTGGAGTTTTTTCCCAACACCAAATCGTTATTTTTAACACCTCGACACGTGTTTTGATCACCAAGTGATCATCTTCAAAGAGGAAGATTAAAAGTTTTTAACTTTTACGTGAACAAATACATTAAAAAGAGGAAGATCGAAAGTTTTTAATCTTCCTCTTTGAAGATGATCACTTGGTGATCGAAACACGTGTCTAGGTGTTAAAAATAACGATTTGGCGTTGGGAGAAAACTCCAGTAATATTGTCTCAAGTATTATAACTTATATGAAACAAATTACAGTGGAAATAGAAGATAGTTCATCTGATTATGACTCAAGCGAAAAAGCTATTACAGTTGGAATTGACGGGAATTGGACATGTTAAAAAAATACAAAAAGTCTCGAAAACAAACTTTTTCTCAACATTGTTCATCTGATTCCAACTTGAAAGGGTGGATTAGTCGTGTCGCGGATGATCGTTCAAGAGCTCAGTGTGACTATACGTACGTGAACAAATAGATTTTTATTTTTACTTTTCAAAATCATTTTTACGCTAAGAAATATTAGGTCGAGACGACAGCTTTCAAAAATCAACTGCTGTGAACTTAGAAAATTAGATACCATCTACAAAGTTGCGCGGTTGAAAATTAGCATGATCCTGATTACTTACATTAGTGACAGTTCAGTATGGTGGTACCTGAACGGTTCACAAACTACAAACTGTAAGTTATGTGGTATTTAATTTTGGATAGGGCGCATGATCTAACCGATTGCGTCAGATATACAAGCGTAGCGGAATATGATGCAAAGTAGCGGAATTTTGATTCATGTGTAGCGACTTAATAGTTCTACTAGTTGGCAACACTGTAACAAATTCATAAATGCACAAACTATGAAATGGCTCATAATACTTTCCAAATCTGTTGAAAAAAATTATCTATTTTTCCGTTAACCAGCTGTCGCACCCCTACGAACGACAACCCTCAGAAGTCAAAACTTGTGCGAGCTAAGCTTCAACGAGGTCTTTCCTTTCAACGTGTGATCCCTAACACGGGTAAGACGATAGCAAGTGAAAATCGATCTTTCAGACTGGGGCTTGAACCACAGACCAACACGGCAGTCAATTCGAGTAAGTGAACAAAGCACCCACGTCGAACCGCCTGGCTACCGACCGCAGGAATCTGTAAACACCACACTACATTTACGCGGTTAACCAAATATTTTTCATTCTACTTCAGACTATGTGAATGTTCGTTATACGATTGGTGCTGCCATCTAGTAACATCAGTTTGGTCATTCTGTGTGTTCTGTGGCTAAGCAGCATAAGATTGTTCTTTGGTCATATGACAGATTAGTTAGTATATGTTCTCTGAGGATTTCTAGATGAAACATATTGATTTTGTTTATCCGAATTTTGCATTGAGCAACATTTCGAAAAATCCGCCGCATCTTTAAAACACACAAATGTACAACTATTGTTTTAAATTGTTACACATCTATATGTGGATGTGCAAATAAGCTTTTTGACAATATTCCTGAGGTAAGTGATTTTTTGTACAAGCCGAACATTATTAATCTTTGTGAAAGTTTTACTTTTGAGTTATTCAAAAGTATAACTATTAGATTATTGTGCGTAACATTCACTATGAATTTCGCGTAGAAAAGTTAATCATTTTAATGATGTAATCAGACGATATGAGTCAAAAATTCAACTGTCTCAATTATCAAAAACTCTGATTTAAATTAGAAAATTGTGGGTTAAGAGATGCTTCTGCTAGATGGATAGTCTTATTTGTTGAAAGTATCTAAAGGATGTGTAATAAGATACGTATCTTTGCAAGCAACTGTGACAATAAAATACGTCGAATGAATTAATATATTACTGGCATTCGTTATACAGCTTAAGCTGATGACTTTTTTTACGATTATTTCAGCACCAAATTACGAAACATTGACAGATGCATGTGTTGTTGATGATGTGACACTGAAAATTTAAGGGGAAGTGGAATGAACACTTACTTTGAGTTTAAGCAACGCAGTCAGAACCTGCTGTAATATTGGCCTGATGTTCTTGAGCGGCATCGGACTGAAGTTGTTCTCTTGGAGAAATTCGTAAAGGTTCTGTTCCAGCATCTCAAACACGAGGCAAAGATGGTTATTGTGTTGAAAACTGCCGTAAAACTTGAGGATATTGAATTCGTCCGCATTTTCTTGGCTCAGTCTGGACAGGATGCTGATTTCGATTCGACCCTTGGATAAAAATAATCATTATGAATCATTTAAGTTATTTATATCTTAGGTCAACTTTGTCGAATATTGACCGGTTCATTATTTTGGTGCATCCTTCCATGGAGGGTTGATGGATGTTGATAATTTAGTTTGGTATGAGAAGTTTTCACACTTGGACACACTTGTATCGATGACCAATATGTGAAGAATCAAATTGGGAAATAAAGGGCAAATCAATAGACCAAACAGTTTTAAAATTCTCAAGCTCGTCAGATTAAGATATATATGGTTCATCTTTATGTTTTAGACGTGCTGTCACATAATCTGACGATTATCTAGAGGGATTCGCTTAATCTGACAAAAACAATATTTAAAAAAAAAAATTCAATTCATTGAACCTAATTAATTGAAAAGCTCAGGAAATAGCATGCAAATAAATAAGTGTATGTTTTTTGAGTAGAATACTTGTATTTATAAGAAAATATTTTTTTTTTAAATTCAAAAAAATTAATTTTTTGTCACTCTCAAATTGTCACATTACTGGAATGTATACTTTTTAGCATGTAATTAACTCACCCTACCTTAATCTGACGCGCTCGAGAATTTCTGACGATCAATTTTTTTTACTAATCTGATCCTTTATCATTCACAGGCGGCCTTATATATGGGGCTCTTATTTGGTGGAGGTACTTAACCGGGTACAAGGTATCCCCCTGTATATTAATCTGCCGCGCTTTAGTAAATCCCGAAATCCCCGCTTGGGCTTTCCTATTATTACCCATTGGAGGCCGTCGAATAATCACGTGAGGCTTCATAGGAGGAGGAGGTTGAGAAAAAATCTCGAAATATCACAAGGGCAGAGGGGGGAGGTAGTGAGACATCACGTGTATTTATTATTTTGAGATTTCTGAACCGAAAAGCGGCATGTAGTATAACTTTGGCTTGCATGATTACACCACCAGGGGGTTCGTCTTAAACTTCACCGCCTATCACCAAGAGGGAGGGGGTTAATAATTGTTAAAAAACACCACGTGATTGATGGACGGCCACTTACTGCTCTGTTACTAACAAATAAACTCACCTGTCTTACGTACGAAGGGTGGTCCTTCAATATTTTAACGGCTACTATTTGGTTGTCGTATTTCTTCCAACATCTTACCACTTGTCCAAATGAGCCCTTACCGAGAAACTCAAGCACCTGATATTCATTGTGCAAGACTTCGTGTTTAGCGATTGGGTAGTCCCCATCAGCAGGACCTGAAACAAAATCGATAAATATGGAGAAAATGAGCAAGATATGAAGTACTTCAATTTTTGTAGATTCTTCAACTTCGTATATAGACTAACCCATATACAAAGCTTCAACGATGAGGCCAACAGTTGAAAGCCTACGCAAAGAATTATTTCTATATCCGAGCTCAAGGCACAGATAGAAATCCTTAAAAAAGAACTTTGGAATAAAAACGGGCCAAAAAACAGCGTAGGTACTCAAACAGTTACAAACTGTAACAAAATGTATAAACAAACAGTGGCGTAGGTAAAATTATAAAAATATTTTCTGTGGGCACTACACAGGTTGGAAATGGAAATGAGAATAAATGGACGAAGCGGGAAAATCAATTTGTTAGTTAGCTAATATATCGGGTACCAACGAAAAAGAAAAAACAAAAAATTGAAAAATTACTTTTGTTGCTGGAAGTAATGGACGAAATATGGCAAGCTTCCTGAGGAGACAACTGACCAATACCTGCATGGTGGAATCAATGTTAAAGCCTTATTAAAACATCAGTAAACTATAGCAAAGACTTTACAAAAATTGATACCGTTATTATCTGGCCTGCCAGAAACCATAAATGTTCAGCAACAGAGCTCTCACCGAAAATGAATAATACTAACATTCTAGTCATCACAGAACCTTACAGATTCGACATTGAATATAAAAATGACAGAATATATCAGAAAAATGTGTCTCTACTGAAATAATATTTTCGTGCAAGACTCTCATCTACAGTAGTAGAACGTAATAATGTGTTACAGAGAAGAAACTACCAGCAAGATAATAAAAACATAAACAGAACAGGAAAAAGATATGTCTGCAAATTGCTAGTGAGATTTCTTGAACAAAATACCGGAAAATCAAAACTGATAACCCGGCCTGAAGGTAACTCTCCAGGATGGGATGATCTCTCACTCAAACTTTCCTTAAACTGTCAAACCAGTATTAGATATCTTAGCAGAAGCTATAAATAAATCTCTCATAAATGGTTTTTTTTTCAGATTGCCCAAAAACTGCTGAAGTTTTCCCATTATTTAAAGGAGGCGATTCTTATAGACCCGCCTATTTCTTTGCTGCCAACTCTATCTAAAATCGTATAAAAGTTGATGAAAACGAGAATCCTAAATTTTCTTGACAAAAGTTATATTCTTTACTCCAATCAATATGTCTTTCAAGCCTCTAGGAGCACAAATGATGCAATTTTTGCTTTACATTCGAATGAATGTTGCAATATTTTGTGATCTAACAAAAGCATTCGATGTGTTGATCACAAAATATTACTTCAAAAACTTGAAATCTACGGATTTAGAGGAAACATCTTGTTATGGTTCGAGTCATAGCTAACAGATCGCGTTCAAGTAGTGAATTTCAAAAGTTCATCATCAGATAAAAATGAGCATTAAATGCGGAGTACCTCAGGGATCTGTTCTTGGACCATTGCTGTTCTTATTGTATATAAATGATCTGGCATATATATCGATTGAAGACCCGCCTATTTCTTTGCTGCCAACTCTATCTAAAATCGTATAAAAGTTGATGAATATTTTGTGATCTAACAAAAGCATTCGATGTGTTGATCACAAAATATTACTTCAAAAACTTGAAATCTACGGATTTAGAGGAAACATCTTGTTGTGGTTTGAGTCATAGCTAACAGATCGCGTTCAAGTAGTGAATTTCAAAAGTTCATCATCAGATAAAATGAGCGTTAAATGAGGAGTACCTCAGTGATCTGTTCTCGGACCATTGCTGTTCTTATTGTATATAAATGATCTGGCATATATATCGATTGGAGGCAAATTCACAAGTTTTGCTGACGACACATCTATACTTTGGCATGGAAAAAGCACTGATGCACTAAAAATTAGAATGGAGCATGATATCGGCAATGATGTGATGCCAATTTATTATCTGTCAATATATCAAAGACTAATATAATGTCCTTTAAATGTAACCTGGACCATATAATTCTTGAAGAAGACATCATTGATCATAAACTAGAGAACAAATAATTTTAGGCCTCAACATGGACAGCAAATTAAAATTTGGAACGCATATTAGTATACTATGCAAAAAATTATCCTTAACTTGTTACGCGATAGATCTATCCCTAAATCTTTGGACTATCACTTTGGTAGAAAAGCGTACTTTGCACTTTTTGAGTCCCACTTGCGGTACGGAATTTGTTTCCGAGGGAGCGGCTGTCAAAACTTATTGAGTCAAGTTTTCACAATACAAAAAAGAGCAGTGAGATTCATTACCAGAGCTAGAGTGCAAGATTACTGTAAGCCCATTTTTTAGCACATCACATCTTAACAGTCTACAGCCTCTTTATTTTAAAAACAGTCTGCCTAATGCACAAAAAACACAAAGATAGCATCTCGAACTCAACTCAGAGATATGCCACTCGTCTCATTCAATATTCCTTTTCCTATCCTGTCAACAGCACAAATTAAAAATTCGATTCTTTTTCAATAGCAAAAAATATTTCAATCGTCTCCCCCTTTCAATCAGAAAGTTAACATAAACAGTTTCGAAAAAGAGTAAAAAAACTTCTGCTAGATAAAGCTTATTATACTATTGAGGAACTTATAATTCCAAGTTATGACAGACTTTTATCCATAGACTTTTTGAAGTATGCTTGAGCCATATATCTTATTTTAATTATTGACTTTCATTTTAATGTTTCTGATTGTTTTAGTTTTTAAGCCTGTTTTGTCAACAAAACCTAAACTTTTATGACAATAAAGCATTTCTAACTGACTGACTTCTGACTATTATATACATATTCTGTGGCATCTGTAATGTTCTATGACATTGACACGTGACGTTTGAAATAAAAATAAGCGTTTTGTCTAGCTCACACTTTCAAATTAATTGAAACCACTAAGAACTATGCACCGTTTTGCATCTCTTTTAGAGTCACGTGAGGTTTCGTACATAAAAACTAATCACGCCCTGCGTGACAGTCATTCACTTGTAACAACCTCAACCAACTTCTATAACTCCGACTTAGCTGTATTCAGTATTGAAATAAAGCACTTTACGAGGAAAACTACTACTCTTTTAAACTGATTTTATTAAGGCAGAGATAGGAACTGAATTGAAAATTGAATAAATAAGCACTGCTAAAGAACGTTGGGGGATGCAGATTGATTTTATAGTCAAATCTAAAAAGTGAAGTATAGGATATTCACGTTAAGAAGAGAATGACGTCATTTTTTTGGTAATTTCGCATATCCAACATAACAACTTTAAAATTCTCAATGAAATGCGTTCAATAGCATTTAATTTTGTAAGTTGCTTAACTGATAGTAGCCGAATTGAAAAAACCTCGAAAACTGTCAGTCTTTCTTGATCTTTTCAGAACTAATTATTTCTTTTGATAAGACCTGCGTATATTCAATATGCTTGAAGCATTGTCGAAACAACCTCAACAAAGTTGTATTTCAACTAATTAATAGTAAGTAAGGTTAATAGCAAAAAAACAAAACAGCACCTCCGCCAATAGCCATTCGTTCTAAAAAAAAAAGTGGAAGCAGTTCAATACTATCGCCGCCGCGCAAAACATAACCTTTTCGCGGGCGGTAAACACAACCGCCGGGATCGCGAAAAAATCCCTATCACATCAAGATAGAATTATAAACGAAGTTAATTCGAAGAACTGAATAAAAGACTACGCATTTCTCTATACTACAAAAATCTCTAAGTTTACCGCGACAGGTATGCCATTCAAAGAAACTGAGTCAAAGAGTTCGGCAACTATAGTTGACGTGCATACTTCTGATTATATTAGTAGGCGATCCTATATAGGACTCGTTTTCAAACTGAATGGCTCTGTTATTTCTTATGAAAGTACAAAAAAAAGGTCGCTTTATCCAGCATGAAAGCGTAATATATGTCTATGACTGAGGCTGCTAAAAAAGCCATATATCTGGAATACTTGATGCAAGAATTTACAGACAAATCAAAGTTTTTGATGACAACCAGGCTGCATTTCTTCTGGCTGTGAACCAAACGTATCATAAGAGGTACAACCATATTAATATTCGTTATCATTTTTTCAGAGAGGCGATTTCACAAATTGATCAAATCGGAACTTTTACGCAGTCACGAAATGCCTGCTGCGAGCTCAAGTTGTGAAAAGCAAATCGGGTTTTCTGTAGAAAATATCGTATTTTTTCAATGGGGGTGCTGAAGGCCTGCAAAAAATGCACTATATTTATGTTCAGTGAAAAGAGCAATGTTCCATGTCATTAAGACATTTGACGTTTGAAATAAAGAAGAATTCTATACGTTCTATAATGAATGCTCAAAGGGAACACTCGTATTTTACTCCCTTATTCACTTCACTACACATATAACAAGAGTTCGTGTTGTCTTGACTATTCAACTTGCAACTCTCTGCCAAAAACAAATAATTCACTTTTATTTTAACGCTTACCTCCACAAGGAAACGGTAAAGGTTGTCGACGGTAATTCTCCTCGGTATTAAATGTCACAGTCGATTTTTTTGATAAATCCAGCGGGGAATCACTACTGGGAGCTGGCGGTTCCCTAAACGTCACCCCCGAAGAAACACGTGAGAGATCTAGAGGAGCATCCATAATATATCGATATCACTCTGGCAAGTTTGAACTTACTATTAAAAATATCTGCACCAGCAGTCTTATAAATGCTTCACAGGTAGATAGGTGGAATATAATGGACTACCTGTTTCTACCTGAATTCCAGGAGTGTACCAGGTGGTAGGTTAGGCTTCTGATATGATTTCATGAAATATGCACCATTTAGTGTAGATCATTTACATAAGTGAAAATTGAACTGGTCGAGGTAAAACATAAAATCAATTTTGATTTTTCACTGGGGTTATTTGCAAAAACCTTCGGCTGTATTGAATTTCACATGACTTTTTTCCATATTTCAAAAGGATTGAATATACATTTCAGAATTTCCAGGGCCGGGCTGTGTGAAAGCTCTTTTCCGGTTTTTTTGACCGCCGTTTGTATGCATAAAAACATGCAGACCACGGCTAAAAAACCCGGAAAATAGCTTGCACAAAGTAAATGTTGATTTATTTGACATTGAAGTCATCAACGTAATTGAAAAAAATGAAAATGAACTCAAAAACCCATTATCTCAGAAAAGCAATCAGAACTGAAATTACAAAATTCGTAATGATTTTCTTTTGAAGAATAGTATTGTAAAGTCAAGGTTTCAACACTAATTAAAAATATATAAACGATTTGATTGCACGCACGACAAATTTAAACACGAAATAATGTAAAAAAGAATCCTCTACATTGATTTCATTATTTTTACGAAATTTATAGTATAGTAACGACATACTCGTAATAAAAACAATTCAATATTTATTTTCTGTTTGGCTTTCGCGATCATTTTACTCTACCGAAGCGATCTGGGACCCGATTCTCAAATGGAGAACGAAATTGTCGCACAAGAAAATTTTTCGAGGAGTATTGTCGAGTACTATTTCAAAATGGTATTCTCAAGTACCCGTAGACACAACAAAGTCGGTCGACGAGATTTGTCGGTAGGAACCGTTTGGCAACAGCGTAATACGTAGAATACATCAAACACAAAACCACAAAACGTTACATAATTACCCAAAGAACTGTTGCTTTTGGCTGTTTCATGAGAGTTCATGAATTTTTATTTTGTGATTCATTTATTATGATCGGTGAATAAATTAAAATTTTTGAAATTTATCCGGCAATGGATAAAAAACAATCCCAATATTGCTCTCGAAATCAAAAAGGTACCTTGGTGGAATTATTGCCAACCCAAAGACTATAGTGTACTTCTTTCTGGCAAATAACACCTAATTTCACCTTCAGGGATGCCCTAGGAACGGCTACATCCATCAATTAATTTAATGAAATTTTATTAATACTGTGTACTCCTTATCATAATTCTGGCAATTATATTATTCCAGGATGCGGAACATTAGTCATTTTGAGGTTAAATTTCGTTATTACCATATACATTTTTTCCATATTTTTTTTGGCTCCCTACTTTCCTTTCATGTAATTCCATGTTCATGGGAAACAATCCCGCTTTCCACTTCTCTTTCATCAAACAAAAATATGAAAAACTTACAAGGGGAAAAAGAAAATAATCACAATAAAAACTCTGCATACACAGAAACTTAAAGAAATGTTTGGGGGGTATTCGTATCTTCCTGTAAATTTTCAAGAAATATTTGAGTTGATGTACTTTCTGTCAATGATGGCACAATGTAATCGTCTCGTCTAATTTGAGGACGAGGGAAGTGCCAAGTACATATGCGAGGCGTTTGCTGTTTGCAGACACCAGTGAAGAACAAGAGCTTCAGTAAGAATAACCGAACGCAATAAGCACATTTTCCATATTTCCATTCCTTCACTCTTGAAATAACTTTTACTAAATGAAGATTGATGAAATTTAATGAATATGAAAAATAATATCAAGTAATATCAACATTTCAAATGTATCTAATTCAAGGTGCCGCATCTCCAAACCAATCAACCTCTCTGCAGTCGAACCACACGTACTTCCCTTTCCAGTCCGCATCAAGAGCCACGAATAGAGGCGCCTTGGCCCCTTCTTCGATCGTTAACGGTCCTTTGTGGCTGGTCATGTCCGTGTCTACATATCCCGGATGGACGGCATTGACGGAGATGTTGCGATTTGGCTCTTCTTTGTCAAATAACCTTTGCTGAATGATGGTCAGAGCAGTTAGACCGACTTTAGAGACGACGTAGGTGGAATTTCCCCAGCCTTTCTCGCCAGCAGTTCCATCCTTTGCATCCCTGAAAAAGTTAATTAAACAATTTGATGTAAGCGAGTCACTAACTAGACCAGAGGTGCCAACAGTAGCGGAATTTACTCGACGGTAGCGGCGTAGCGAATTTGAACATAAAGTAGCGGAATTTTTCTACAAATAATCAATATTGACAAAAATATGGAAGAAGAGGCAGTGGACAGCATTCGAAGCTAACAATTGAATGCACAGTCAATACGTTATAGTCTTAGTAGCCGAGGCCATTATACAACGAAAGAGAAGAAGAATATTGTTGGATATTTTCATTGCTATCATAAACCACATAACCTTATATGTCCTGGAAATAAAAGTCTAGACTGTGTCGAGTATTATGAATTATATGGAACAGATTACACTGGAAATGGAAGATACTTCATCTGATTGTAGCTCGAGTGAAAGAGCTACCGCAGTTGAAATTGACGTGAACGAGACATGTTCAAAAAACACAAGAGGCCTCAATAACAAACTTTTTCTCAACATTGGTTGTTTGATTCCAACTCAAAAGGATGGATTACACCTGTCGCGAATGATCGTTCGCGAGCTCAGTGTGACTATTCGTACGTGAATTAATTGATATTTATTTTTGCTTTTCAAAATCATTATTTCTAGTTAAGAAATATTTGGTCCAGACAACAGCTTTCGAAAATGAACTGCTGTAAATTTAGAAAATTAGGTACCATTTATTGAGTTGCGCGGTTGAAAATTAGCATGATCTTGATTCCTACATTAGTGACAGTTCAGTTTTATGGTACACAAACTACAAACTGTAAGTTCTGCAGTATTTAATTTTGGATAGGGCGCATGTGAGAACTGATGGCGTGAGATATATAAGCGTAGTGAAATATGAAGCAGTGTAGCCACTTTATTGTTCATCCAGTTGGCAACACTGAACTAGACAGGGATTTCATGACCATTTACTCAGGACAACTGTATGTGGTTTTGTCGAACAAGAACGCAACTTATCTCTTTGCTTTATACCTGAAACCTACCTCACGAATGCGTCCATAAGTTTACTCAGTTCCGATATTGACAAATCTGGGCTGCTCAACTTTGTTCGCAAATCAGCCGAGGGAATTCTGCTCAGATGCCCGGCAGAGCTGGAAAGGTTCACAACTTTCGCGTTCTGTCTGAGCAGGGGAAAAACAGCCTCACAAAAGTTGAGAGTGGAAAAGTAGTTGACTTTGAGTGTTTCTTCTGCCTGATGACCAAACGGTTCTTTAGCATCTCCCTGAAAAAAATATTCTGTGGGAATTTATTTAAAAAGAAAAATACTATGCCTGTATATGGCAATGACGGTACTTGTGGTTTTTTGGGTTTTCAACCTTTCGTAATCAGCGAAATAAATATAGATAAATAGAGATTCTGCTCACGAATGTTTTTAGGGAAAAACTGAAGAGTTCACCGCCAAAAGTTACTGCGTAATATAAACCTACAAAAAATTGATTAGTCAGCTTGCAGTATTCATAAATGTATCATACGAAAAAATTTGGATTCTCAACTTCAAAATGGAAAATAATTCTGTCAATGAATTGCGGGGAAGAAACAATAAATGAAAATTTGCACATATCACGCTACATCCTGACACTATTAATGACTAATATTGAGAAATTAACTGAGAGCTGGAAACCTATACGAGCTACATCAATGTACCTTCAAACAGCATCAGTCAACGAACCATGTACTTTATTTACACCGATATAAGAGGACTGAAAAGAATCATCATTGACCTGAGAAACAAAAAAAATCTGGGACTGACAATTTGTCTATCAGAGACTGCGCTCTACAGGTTCTTGTTCAACTCATTAACGAAACTTTCAGGCACCTTTTAAAACATCTTTGGTCATACCTTTGCCTAAGGGGCGTGATCCTAATAATCCATCGAACCAAAGACCAATATCTTTACAAGCAACTCTGGCAAAGTTGATTGAAAAGTTAGTTAAAATAAGACTTAACGACCATCTTAATATATAGATAATTTTTTAAAACCAATAGTAGTTCAAGTACAAAGAATGTGAAAGCAGGAGTACCTCAAGGATGGGTCTTAGGACCCATATTCTTTCAACTATATGTAAATGGCCTGGCTACTGCACGTATATCTGGTAGTTTCACCATTTTTGCAGATGATACCCACTATTGAGGCATCATGAAAATCAACAAAATTTATACGAAAGCACCTGTAATGACCTCAGAGGAATTAAACAATGGTGTAATGAAAATTTGCTATCATTCAACATTGAAAAAACGCATATAACCACCTTTAAGAGCAATCTACCAAAAATTCATATAGAAAGTACACTAGTGGAAAATAGATCACCACAAAATTCTTGGGAATTAATATCGAGTATCTGAGATTCAAGGAGCTGATATAAGCACTATAAGTAGGAAACTTTCTACCGGGTGGTTTGAAATCAGAATAGTATCAAAAGAACTAGGGTTTCACGCAGCAAAAAATGTTTATCTTGCCCGCTTAGACTCTCAACTAAAGTATGGCACAGCATTTTAGGGTGTACACAGCTGTTTCAATCTGTTTTCATCTTACAAAACCGTGTGGTACGGTATCTCTGTGGAGCAAAGTGGAATGATCCATGCAAGTAACTGTTTATAATGCATGGAATTTTACCTAATTATCAACTCATTTAACTTTTACTCATGTACAAGCTTACATTTCAACAAACATTCTGCTCGAGTATGTGCTCATGTGTGTATATATGTGTCTTCATGTATATATGTACTTAATAATTCATTAATATTATATAAATTCTGTCCATCCAACAAACAAAGGAACCCAAACAAAAATAGATGTGTGATAAATGCATGATCACCACACACATTTGCATCTATTGGGTAAAATAACCAAGCCTCCTTACGCTGGCCAATCAGATTCAACTGCAATCGGCTGGAGAAACTCATTCAGGTATATCGCTACAGGGTCAGAGTGGTGAGTTACAATTCAACATTATTTTGAAGTTTAAAATTTTTAAAATGTCAAGTACTGATATGACTGAAGAAACTGTTGATTTGTGTGCCTAAAAAAAATCCTATACCCATGCCCATATTAGAAAAACAAATTCCGTTGTTCCTTAGTGCGGCTCTGTACAAGCAGCCTTGTTTGGGAGATGACGTGCACTATCCATGATAATGTTTTGGAGCGCTCTGTTGGTTACATGGACAAAGTATAGCTATACATTATATTTTAGCAGAAAATTGTTTCTTGACAATATGTATTTCTTATGACATTAAAGTTATATTAATTCCCTGTGTCTCTGATCCTTTTTTGTCCTCAAAATCTGAAAAAATATTATTGAAAACGTCTTTTTTAGAAATTTTAATATCACTTTTAGGGAACAAACGTTTTGAAAATAGTTGAAAAAACGGATCTCAAACTCAACACATTTATGATTCAACAGCAGATAGCGGTGTTTCAAGCCGCCACAAGTGGTGGCAGGCTGAAACACAAATACGTAACTGGATTCAACTGTCCTAACAGACATGCCTGAGCGAGTAAAGTCGATGACATTTCCCCTTACCAAGACGCCATCTATGAGATCAACAGAGAACTGGATCCTTGAGTATAAAGAAATAAAAGAGGCGCCTCAAGGCAGTTAGTTGATAGGTTAAGTGAGTTTCAGTGTTTTGAAATCATCATAAAGTGGGAAGGAAGCCATATGATTCAAATCATCAAGTAGGAAGAATTCACTTAATAGAAGAAGCCTATAGAAGTTATTATACACTGAAACATATGTTGCGATTTTATAAAATGTTTACTGAGAATCTCACAACAGAGTTACTTTAATACATTCTTCAACTAATGACATTCATTTCCCAATAGATGTTTTTAGAAAAGGTCTCTTCTATGAGAGATTTGATATTATCCTAATTGTGCCAATATTTACCTTGAATGCTATGGCAGCATTGTTAACCAACAAATCGAATCCACCATAAGTGGTTTCAATGAACTTTTTGAAATTGTTTATGCTAGTCTGATCAGTGATGTCCAGTTGGTGGTATAAAGGTTTGAATCCCAGCTTTTCTAGTTTGCCTACAGCATCCTTTCCTCTAGATACGTCTCTAGATGTCAAATATACCACTCCAGCGAAGCGCTCACAAAGACCTTTTACAATTGCGAATCCAATACCTTTGTTACTGCCAGTTACCTACAAAATACAGGGGCCATGTTGTTGAAGGAGTAAGAAAGAAGAATGAAGCAACCACCGGTATCAATCAGGTTTTTGTCAAGTTCAATCCTATCAAAGGTTTAGTATAACAGAATTTATATTATCAAATGAAAGAAGAAACATATATTTACCACTGCAACTTTTGTGGAGGACATTGTCGATAAGAATGTGTTTTGCTAGTAATCTGCCAACTAGTTGAAGCAGTTCAAGTTGTAATAATTTAATGAATTATGGTAACTTGGTAACTTGGTAACAGTTCAATTGGACTGGAACATGGACATGACAATATGGACTGGCCGTGAAGGCACTTTTAGATATATTCCACCTGTGAATGACACAACCTCTTGGCCACTGCGTCACAGCACTCTATGACCAATCAAATCCCGAAATATTCACAATGAAAATATGAAATATTCAAAACATCGTGACGTTGATTTGACGTTAAATGTATGCGTGACGTAAATGCCAAAACATGAATCTCTTCATCTCTTTTTAGTTGTTGAAGTCAATGTTCTCTTTTCAATCGCCAGTCTATATTACGATGTCACTGGTTTGGTAACATATTTGACATTTATAAAACACGTGACACACAGACCACGCTAAAAGATAACAGGTAATCACTCTTAGACTACCAAAAAAGTACTAGAACGAATTAAAAAGTACTGTAAACGCGAATCCGTGAATAATCGATATATCCATCCTTTTCTTTGCTATAGTAACCGTTTTTCATTGATTTTGAATCTCATTCCGACAATTATAACAAATAATTGTCATCGAAGACTAAGTGACCCTTAACATTGATATGTGTAAGCAATCAATTATGTTTGTACCATGTTAGAATGATTTTTTGTCGAAAATAACACATATGTTATTCAAATAACACTTTATTGTGAGATTTACACGCAACATACCAAGATGTATGAAAACATTTGAAGAAGCTATGATATAGCTTTCATTAAAGTGTCACTTCAACAAGTTATGGATTTCCATCAAATATCGGCCAATTACATCATATGACTATCACTATGGCTAGTCAGACTGATCTGATACAACAATGTGATGGAAAAGTACTAAAACATTAGGAGTATTAAAAGTATTTCAACTATATTATTTTATTAAAACAACGATAAAAATAAAATAAAAACAACAATGAAAATTAATTGGCGCTCCGGGGCGACTTCATTGATTCCAGTGGCGCATTTGCTTTTTCAGCAGCAGGAAAACCCGGAAAAACCTGCAGCACCACATCATCTGAAGATCTTGATCTACTAAATTTAGTATGAAAATACTAAAACGGCAACACTGCGACAGGAATCGAGAGAGTCCATTGAATTCGAATGACCAAATTTAGTGAATTCCATATTTCTCTACACTGAACCTGGAATGTTTCTCGAGAAAATTTATGAACTAGCCGTGACATCACTTCTACATATATTCCAGTTACGGATCACAAAACGGTCTTGGCGGTCAATGTGTCACAGCACCATGAGACACATCGGATCCTAAAATTTTCATAATGAAAATTTGAAACTGACGTCAATGTCAAATTGTAAATCTCTTCATCTTTTATTAGTTGTTGGAGTCACCGTTCTCTCTTTAATGACCAGTCCATATTATGACGTCTCTGGTGATCCGGTGATCCACAGATACATACTACGTTTTTGTAGGTTAGTATTAAGTTTATTTTCGTCATCAAAAGTAAAAAAAATGTTCCACTTCCCAGACAAAATCTTAGAAACCATGACCTGTGATTCCTGTTACAAGTTTTTGTCAGTATGGCCAGTGAAAGTGTATCCCAACAGGAAAAAGAAATGTGGAAGATGCTCGCATTTCGAAGACGGAGGAGTCGTTTCAAAGTTTGGATTGGTGGCTGAACACGTCCTGTTCAAGTGTGTGAATCGATTTGACGGCTGTAGACAATTGTTACGCGTCAGCGAAGTGCCAACACACGAAACCGCCTGCCAAAGTAAGGTTTACGTTTGCCCTATTTGTCCGGGAAGTACAGCAATCGAGACGTTTTTACTGATGAAGCACTTCGAAGAATCTCATAAGGAGTGCTTATTGGAATCAGCCTCTTTCAAAGCAGATGTGTCTTTTCCCCACACCAAAATCTACCTCTATGAAGCTAAAGAAAACTTGTTCTTCATCGAGTATAGTTGTTCTGCTGATGATATCAGATTGAGAGCGATACACTTGAGCGAAGGAAGTGTATCCGAAGATATCAAGCAAAAATTCATCGTTAATTGTGGTTCGGAAATAAAGGAAACCGAAGAGAAAGAATGTGCTACTGTTGGTGACACGAGTTCGGGAAGATTTTTTCTGGCAAAGCCAAAAGTTGAGTTTGTAATCGTTTATTTCCACTTATCGGTTCCATACTTCCACGAGTCCAAACTAGAAAAAAAGACTTGTCTTCCTAGAATGGTCTCAATACGTCAGAAGTATTTAGAGTTCGCAGTTGAACTCAAATCGACTTCGTTGATTTTGCGAAGTAGTAACACTGAAATTTTATTGCACTGCCTTAATTGCTCGAAACCCCGCAATCAATATTTATCATTGAGCTCAAATTTTTTACGAGTAGGAATTTTGAAATTACAGTGGATCTGTTCTTTCTGTAAGAGTTACTATCAAAATGAGCTTGAAGAATTGCTGATATCGTGGAGTGAGTTATGGAAGAAACAATCCTTCGATATATATTTCAGTTGCATTTGGCGTTCCTGGGGCTGTTCAGAATTTCATGTTGATATCTTGGAACATGAAATTGACTGCCCACATCAACCTCCGCAGTTGTGTCCCGTGGCAGGTTGCTCATTCAGAGGAAAACTGTGTAATTTGAGTAAACATTTCAAACGCCTTCATACTACCCATCACATCGAAGTTCAAAATTATTGTTACATCAATGCAGTGCAGAATATGTTCCCTCGGAAATATTTTCTTTGGTCGAATGATGGTTTCGTTTCAGTAGAAATCGTGAACAATCAATTGTATTGTGATATTGAAATATCAGTTCAACAGCTCGATGGAAATGTAAATAGGAATTCGACAGAATCTAAAGTTGTTGTACTGGACTGGAATTACACTTTTTTAGGAATTGTTACTGGCAAAAAATCCATCAGGACAAATTCGAGATGTTTTTATATCATGGGTTTTTTTGAAAATCAGTAGACTCTAAGCAGTGACATTTTTATTGTTTTGATGAATATTTTCGTATATATCAACAGCAATTATTTCCTTTGAAAAGCGAGTGGCAACTATTTCTATCATTGTTAACAGCAGTGTAGTAATATACGAGGTGTCTGTTAAAAACTAAGGTGGAGGTGGATCATAGTTTCAACTGGTGTACCGCAGGGTTCTCATTTAGGACTATTATTTTTCAATCTACTTGTTAATCTCTTGGAATGATTTTGTTTGCTTATAATCTGAAGATGTTCAAAGTTATTCATGGCTCACCTGAAACCTGAAAATATCAAAAACTACAGACCACTATCAGTACCCTCTGTAATATCAGAAATAATCGAATATGCTATACGATCTTTTCAAATAAGTACCAAATAATGACAGCAATAACATCTTTCTATGAGGAGATTATTGAAGAGCCCTACTGGAATCTTTTCCAATTTCAGCGGTGCTTTTGACTGCGATCGCTGTGGCACATTACTTAACTTGTATAGGTACAGAATCAGAGGTATTACCTATGATTGGTTTGACACATACTTAAAATACAGATCCCATATTGTTAAAATATTTGAGTTAGGGAGGTCTGTTTTTTCATCAATGGATATTAATGCAAATTATAGTTTCGGNAGTAGCCATTCCGTTGAAGATCATTTTTGATGATGTCTAGTTCCTTCTCGAGACCTTCCTTCGTATTACAGAGCCCGAAAGCACGGTCTAATAGAGTCTGGATGATTCCTCTTTTAGATGATTGATGGTGGCTGGATTCGTGGTTCAGATACTGTCCCGTGTGAGTGGCTTTTTGGTATACAGATGTTTCCCACTTACTGTCGGTCCTCTTCACCAAAACGTTTAAGAATTTCAATTCATTGTGGATTTCCTTCTCCATTGTGGAAGTGATGGAAGGTCTCACGCTGTGGATGTATTTCAGGAAGGCGTCTAGTTCAGTATTGCCATGGTTCCATATTGTAACATGTCTCCAACATGTCTCAACCAGACTCGAGGTTTCTTGTGGGCTTCTTCAATGGCCAGAACTTCAAACCACTCTATATATATGTTGGCTATGATTGGTGAAAGTGGCCAGTATTTGTGTCTCAGAAGCGCATCCTAGGATGCCCTCCTGATCACTCATGTTGATTTTTTTTCAAAGAATACAAAATATTTACAGTTACTGGCATATTCGTACTTGAACTATTGATATACATACATGTCAATCGAAATACCTTTTAAGGAAACGGCGACACTCATAGTCACAATACAAGGAAAGAGGATAAGTTTTATGTGCCCTTCAAAAACCTGGAATTATCCAAAAGAGCACCAAATACTTTTGGTTTGTACCTGTACAACGTTCTCCCGTACTAAGAAGTCTGCCAACTTACACATTTAAAATACAACTAAAAACAGTCTTGATAGATCTGCGTCCTTACTCAATTCAAGAATTCCTGGAATTGATTGTTTCAATTTCATACCATTCAATTTATAGATTGTCATCATCAGTTTAATTTTAGTTATAGGTATGTTTATATACTCTCCATGTTTAGTGTTGATACTCTAAATGTTTTGTGTTTTATTTGTAGGATTTTTTCCAAATTGTCTTGTCCTATAACTTTATAAGTTCCACAGGATTAAATAAATGACTGATTGATACTGAGTAAGTACGATTTATCTAACTTTATGTGATATAAACTTATTGCAATTGAATGTTGTCAAATTTGATGTCATAAATTTACTTTTTTCCAAAACAAAAATTTCATGATTAGTCCATATCAAATCAAGTAATCAGAACTGGAAACGTCAAATACAATCGAAGATTTAGGAATCACTCTTGACTCAAAAATGTTATTCAAACCCCATTTTGCAAATGTTACTCCTAGACTTTCCAGATCACTAAAAATTTTGGGTTTCACTCTTAGATCTTCCTTGGAAATCATATATTGCTCAATTGTTAGATCAATAATCTAATACAACTCAACAATCTTCATTCAGTGTGGATATTGATATGTTTGAAAAGTTTTTAAGCTACTCTGCATAAAAACTGGGATATCTTATTGGTTAATATAACTGTGAAATTATATTGTACATTTTCAATTGAATACTCTGGCTCATACACGATTAGAATAAGATCTTAAACTAATTCACAATAATCAAAAGATTGTAGGTAATTAATTAGCTTGTTTTTCACTTTTTATTTTAAATATTTTTTTCCTTACATATAGCTGATAGTTATAGTACATATGTGAATTTGTTAATTATTTTGTGAAAATAGACAATGAGAAATCAAAAAGGTACCTTGGTGGAATTATTGCCAACCCAAAGAATATAGTGTACTTCTTTCTGGCAAATAACAGCTAATTTCACCTTCAGAGATGCTCAAGAGAAGTGGAAAGAAATTTCCTCTATTCTGAAGTCAATACCAGGTTGTAACAAGGACAGGAATGATTGGAGAAAGGTTGATATTTCTCACATACATTTGTGAAGTAGAGGATAATATTATTTAAAGATACTTTTCAGACATGGCAGGACATCCGTTCCATGTGTAGTAATTATTGTACTAAATGCTTTGGTAACCAAAATACTCAACAAACTGTAAATCTGTCATCATGTTTAGTGCATTTCTGTAAGAGTGCACTTCTTTCACATGTTCTAAGACATCTTCCTGGTTTTCCAGGTTTTCTATGACAGCTAACATTCCCATATCATCATTCATTTCTCGATAATCTAAATCAACTTCATACTTATGATGCATACAACAAATATTCGGTCAACAATACAACCACATTAACTGTAATATTCTGCAAATTCGTCCGGAGACCATTATTTCGAATGGACAAAACCCATTCGAAGTTTTGTATTCTGAAAATTCTGTGTTTCGACATCTGAGAATACCAAATCATCATTTTCATTCGACAAATGTTAATTTTCGCATACGACTAGTAGTCTGGCAATTATATTATTTCAGGAGGCGGAACATTAGTCATTTCGAGGTTAAATTTCGTTATTACCATATACTTTTTTTCCTTTTTTTTTGGCTCCCTACTTTCCTTTCATGTAATTCCATGTTCATGGGAAACAATCCATTTTTTTTATCCAAGCAGTTTCCAGAGAAGGACAATTAATATCATTTTACTAGGTTAATTTTACGAAAAGTTCATGTTTTCAACATCATTTTTACCTTTGTTATTCGCCAAAATACTTGACTGATTGGCCTAATAGCAGCAGCCATCTGTCATGAAGAAGATTTAAAGTTTTTTCTTCTACTTCTTATTTCTGCGATCTCTGCTCTCAATGCTAGCTGACAAGTTAACGAAGATTGTTTTTGAGAAACAATCAGTATGCAATCTTTGATTGTGAAGTTAACGGGAATATTTTTTTGAATGTCATCGGCTTCGACTACATTGGTCATTAGCCTCGTGTCCTGGGTAAGGAATGTTGATAACTTCCGAGCCACCTAGGGAGCATCATAGCCATTTGCAGTCCGTCAGCCATGTAATGCAGAATCATTCCAGCTTAGCCGTAGTATTGAGGATAAATAAAGTCAAAGGTACTGAGCACAAGATTGTTACAAGAACTCATTTCATCTTTGAAAGCGAATGTGGAATATTTCAAATATAATTCCTCTTGTACTTTCCAGAAACGGCTCTCTTATATAATGAATTACAACTTGATAATTTTTCTGAAATGGTATCAGCTAAAAAATACTCAATGAGAAGTAAGATATCCTTTAATAATGGTACAAATATATACAAAACTATTCGATTGACTATCCTACTATATTAAATCGCAAGTCTACAAAAACCTTAACACTAATTTGAACTTGGCGTGATTGGTAGAAAAACCTTAGAATTACATTATAGTAAGCTGCACTATAACTCAACAATTACTTATTACTATTATCATCGAAATTTTAATTTCAAACAACGTGAGACGTGTCGATCACAGTGCGCTATAAATATATTTGGAATCAAATCCAAAATAGAAGCCATCAGGTTGTTTTCCGTGCTCAAAACAGTATGTTTTTCAAAAAAGATTTTAGAGACATCAAAGGTCTTGATAAAACCCTTTTTATCACGAAATAACCGAATGAATTGCAGTTTACGTCATAAGAATGAGGTTACGTAGATAAAACATGATTGTTTAAGTTGCTATATGATTGATACTGTGCGATATAGTATTAAAATATATACTTGTGAATAAATATTATGATTATTCAATTCGAGAATGGCAAGTAATGATATATTTGAATAAAGCACCATGTCGGTTTGCATGTTTGAGAGTTTCTAGGTCCGAACTTTTTCGAATGGTTCCAAAAAGTTCCATTCTGAAGTTCTTAGTGTTCTTTGACTACAGAACTACAGAATATCATATAAAGGAGCACAGAACAGTTGTTAGTAAACGTTAATACACGGAACACCACCAACACAGAAACTTGACCCTCAGAATCAAAGTGTCGACAGATGTGTATGTCTTCTTCAATGTGTTCTGTGACAGAACCTATGTCAGAGGTAAAACTCTGGAAATAAACTTTGATGAAAATAGTGTTTCTCCTCTATAGTTAATTTAGTGGCATGACTGCTCAAAAAGTAACACCAGGAACAACACTACTTTCTACGAACTATTTGAAACACTGGCATTTAACAACGTTGCCAAATTTGAAATGTATGTCAACCATAATACAAAATCAAATACAGTTTAACCCCGGCAATACGATTTTTACGTGGGAAAAACCCGGACGCAAAAACTCTCCCACATTCAAGGCGCTTATGAATTCGATCAGAATGAATATGGACCACAACATTCAAGGACCTCTTTGACAATTTTCTTCTCTAACGTGTGGGAGGTGGGCTGCGGTACTTGGCGCGGATATGCAGGTATTTAGAGGCACTGCTAGGCCGCTCCGGCGTCACTCTGTTCATCACTTTGACCTGGCAAGGGTCATGACGGAGCAGAAAATGATCCAGGGTATCCCAGCCCCCGCCTACTCTGACCATCATGTGACGACCTTTAAGCAACTGAAACAAACGAAATACCAAACATTGACATGAAGGGACGTTAATATGTTACACTGGCAAGACCTATGAGGTAATTACTTGATTGAACTTACCCTAACGAAAACGTTTTTGCCGGCTATGTTGTATTTTCCCTCCCCCACCTTCCTGATCTTCAGTTTGTCGCATTTTCCGCTCGAGCAGTTGCAATTTTTTTGCATCAGACGAGCAGCCAGCTGTACTTTCCTGTCCAACTCCGTGGTGGGACTGGGGGACTCTCCTCCACCCGTAGAAGAAGGTCTTGGTGGTGGGGTCAGGTCCCGATCCGGATCTTCACCACTACCTGCAAAAATTGGAAATATTTTCTCTTATGAATGTGGCTCTGGATGAAATCTAGTATGTTTGGGGGCAGGGATTAATAGTCCAAATTAGGTCTCATCTGAGCATCATAAAGCGTCAAAAGTTGCTGAGATATGTACAGTTTTCTGGTTCGAAACAGTGTTCCAAGCTTTCGAGAAGCGGCCTTTGCAGTTCCACCGACATGACTGGCCAAGACATATTGGTAGAATCCAAAGAAATACACTGCTTAGAAGTAATCCTCTCACCTCTGGACCAATCTTCATCCTCGGTGTTATCACTAGGAACTCCATCACTAGCTCCGCTAGCTGCAACTATGGGAGAGGGGAGGTCACTTGTGCGTTCGGGGACCAGAATAAGGGAATTAGTCAATGCAACGTAAAATATGTATTGTTCATTGACATTTATTGTATTGCTTTCAAAGTAGACCCCTCCCGAAAGAATATATTTATGGACAACCCAATCAAGGTAACATTTTTCAAACGTATTTTTTGGAAGAGTCTTCAGCACTCGCTGCGAATTCTCTTTTATGCCATCTATTGGCTGAAAACAGGTGCTTCGGAGTGGTATTTTGAGTTGTGGGCCATATCGGGCAATAACGGTGGCTATTCAATAAGACTTGTTGAGTTTTTAGCCAAATTCGATGAATCTGTTCTCTTAAAGACCGCATAACGCTCAGATAATATTCTTTATTCACTGTCTCACCTTCTGCCAAGAACTCTGAGTCCACAACTTCGCGGTGACCGAAAAAAGAAATGTCACCTTCACTTCTGATTGACTTTGACGAGCTTTTTTCGGTTTTAGCTTAATTGGAGGGATTTCGAAGCTTCTTGACTGGTGAACCCACATCTCATCATGAGTTACAATGATTTTTTATGAATGTGGCTCTGGATGGAATCTAGTATGTTTGGGAGCAGAGATTAATAGTCCAAATTAGGTCCCATCTGAGCATCATAAAGCGTCAAAAGTTGCTGAGATATGTACAGTTTTCTGGTTCGAAACAGTGTTTCAAGCCTTTGCAGTTCCACCGATATGACTGGCCAAGACATATTGGTGGAATCCAAAGAAATACACTGCTTAAGAGTAATCCTCTCACCTCTGGACCAATCCTCATCCTCGGTGTTATCACTAGGAACTCCATCACTAGCTCCGCTAGCTGCAACTATGGGAGAGGGGAGGTCACTTGTGCGTTCGGGGACCAGAATCACGTGGTGCCCTCCGTCCCACCTGTCAATAACGGACGAAATGGCAGACGCAGACGCGCTCTGACGCATCTTTGTGAAGCTCGAGGACGAATTGAAACTCGAGGGGGAGTTGAAGGTCGATGAAGAATTGAAACTGCTGTCTGGGTACTGCCAAGATAACAGGGAGCTCAGTCTCGATCCAGGAGACCGACCTTCTTCTTCTGCTATCTGCTTTTCCAGTTGGACCAGACCTGGAGGCTCCACGCCGTATTTGGAGGCTATCCGGGCTACTTCGAGGAGGCAGAGAATGACGTTTCGCGGCTGGTGGTGCAAAACTGTGGACAGAAACATGTTGCTTTTGATAGATACTTTATTTGACTACGTTATGTTGTTATTTAGCATTGCCTTACCTAAATCATCGCTTTCGAATAGGAGATTTTCGTGGACACCAAGCGATCTGCAGAACCTGATGAAGTTCTCCATGTTATCCCTAGAAAAAAAACTTCTTCTCGCAGCCTTTTCGAAACATTTTCCTCTGATGCTGGGGATTTGCTGAAAATAATAATAAAAGCTTATAAGGGTGGTTGACAATGTTTCATGGTGCATTTCATTAGGTCGAACTTCCATTGTTTAATATAATATAAAATGATGAATCAGAAGGAAAGGGTAACGGTGGTTCGGAGATATGAAACAATCCAAAATTTCAGTTTTTGTTTTCTCGAAATTAACATCTTTTCTTTCATTTGTTGCTTAGTGCTACTGAAAAAACAACTGAAAATATGTAACCTTGCTTTAATGTGCTGTTCATTGAAATTGTGACCAGAACTTCTATTTTTTTGTTAATACTGAAAAAGACGATTTAAAAATCTCAAATTCTCGAGGTGTGGATCCCAAAGAGACCAAGGACTAGCCTCAAACAGACGAAATCATTGAGTTATCCGGAGAATAAGTGCATCAAAGTCATTTGTAGCAAGTCCAAATGAAGTAAAGTACCTATTGCATAATATTCAGTCGGGGTATAAGTCATTTAATGTTTGAGGCCACCAGCAATACAGGCTGTCACAAGCTAGGTTGTCCACTCAAGGTAACATGTATGTATTTGGCGTTTTCCATTGCTAACACCAGTGCATATTCAGTGTGTGCACTGTTCTTCCAATGGAAAACGCCGTAAATGACGTTCACACATGGTAAGTTGATTGGTAAAAATTTAAGAGTCGGTTTATCGTTTGCATAAGCGTAACCTAATGAATAATCATAACCTTACAAGAAGGAGAAATTTCTTTTCACAGTAGAAAAATGACACCTTGGTTATTTTAAGAATTTTTATCTTTATGAAACAAGAGTGGTAGTTTTCAACTGCGGGATGTAATTTCCCTTCCTTCTAAGGTTGGCTTAGTTCGTTAAGTTATGCCAATTATTACAAGTTGTAACTGTCTTGATAGTAATAACAAATATTGTTTCTGTAAAGTTAACTAGTCAATCAACCACGAGTTACACACCTGAAAGAAAGAAGATATTCATGATGGGGGTAGTGTCTTTTGGAATTCTGTTTTCCACATGCTTTAAAATCCAATATTCAAATTATCCTTATGACAAATAAACTTAATGTTAGGTATGTATTGAAAGCCGCCCTTTATGCGCCAATATTGCTCTTCAAATAACAGGGTAGATGATATCAAGCTGGATCAACATCATTTGAAATCATCATCCGTAACATTGGAAATTAAAAAAAAGAAGTAACTTACCCCCTTGATGAGTCCATTGGCTACGGTTTGTTTGATTATATCGCAAATTCCTTGGGCCAAGTGACATAACACCACGCCGTTATCTAATTCGGCGAGAAAATTGTCTTTGGTGATGTAGTCAACACCTGGAATTATTAAATTAATTGGTTGAAGAAGCACATGAATGAAAGAGGAAGGTGTTTTGTTATAATTTCTTGATGTTTTAGTCAGCACTCTCAACTGCTGAAAACGGTTTAGTTTTCAAGTAATTCTGAACAATTATTTCATTTCCGATCAAAAAAAGTTCAACGAACAAGTTCGTTCAACATTGTAATAATTATCCTACTAATGAGTGATTTTTTTGTTGGTATCTTTTTGGCAACACTGTTTTTGACAGATCACGCGTGAATCGTGTCTTGTGTCATTGTCAAACTTGTTCAGTTTGGTCTATAATTTAACTATGAATCGACTTACTAATGAACAACGCTTGCAAATCATTGAATTTTATTATCAAAATTCATGCTCGGTGAAGCAAGTGCATCGTGCACTTCTTCCAATTTATGGGCAGTTTCGCCGGCCTACTGAAGAAGCTATTCGGAAGCTTGTGACTGAATTTCGAACCCATTTTACATTATTGGACATTAAACCACCAACACGCCTACGTAGAGTGAGGACAGAAGAAAATATTGCGGCTGTATCCGTCAGTGTTCGTGATAACCGTGAAATGTCGATTCGCCGCCGTTCGCAGCAATTGGGCCTCTGTTACTCCACTAAGTGGAAAATTTTGCGAAAAGATTTGGGTGTAAAACCTTATAAGATACAGCTGGTGCAAGAATTGAAGCCACACGACCTCCCACAACGTCTAACATTTGGTGGTCACAAATAATTTTGATA